CAGTGCCCTTCTCAAGGCATCGTTTCTATAACCTTCAAACACGTAACATTGCAGTGAAAAGATTACGATTCCAGCGAGTTTTCGCCATTTTATTTTCCGCCCACAGAATCCTGTCTTACATTAGGCATACCAAGTTGTTTCTAAATGTATTGTTCTATACAAAATGATTAATAAATCAAACTAGGGTACATATCCGCGTGGAACAGGTGGAAACAAAACTCTTCGCGAGTATGTCGAATCTCTAAATTAAATTCCAGCGCAAGAGGCGACAATTTTGGCAGCAATGTATCCATCAGTAGGAATATTTCTTGTATAATTAGAAAATCGCGATACCAAGGGTTCAGGTAGGTTAAGCAATTATCAATGGACAGCGAATGTTGCGTTAACGCAGTGACGTCGTGGAAACGCTTTATCAACGATGATGACACAGCTGCGGGGAGATATGAGCACTGAAAACAGGCCAGCGCTGTTACGTTTCACTATGAAAAAAGAAGAGATTGAAAAACAAAGTCGCGTTTATGAATAGATTTTCCGAGAGATCGTCTTTGCTGGTTCGTTCGACTGGAGGAATCGATCGGGCTTGGAAAACGGAGAACGTTATCGCGACGTCTCGCTAATCTCGAGTAGAAGGAAGAGACCGCTTCACGATTAATTCTCCTGTGAATGATTTGTGAGTTGAACAAACTGGTTGAGACACCGGAACGGAGGAAAGTGGAATTTTGGGCTTAAGTATTTCATTTGACGATGTATGTTTTGAATGTAGGATGAATGCTGTTGATGTATTTTTTAAGAAAAAAGCGTAAGGGTTTAGATTATTGGAAAAATGGATGATTAGTGTTATTTCGGATTAGAACAGTAAGACATTTCAAGCTCTTTTGTCTATGGAATGTTTGCTGTTCGACGAAATGAAATAGAAAATTGAACTGGAATTTTGTGGAAATTCAGTTCAATGAATTTCGTAGCTATTGTATAACCCAATTTAAATTTACAGTTGTTTTGCATTTATTTTATTATCAATTTGATTATAGATTAGCACGAAATATAATTTGTTCCCGATAACGATCTATCAAGCGTTCAATCTTCGAAGCCAAGTTATTAAAATCTGGTAATCTCGTAAACACCGAGATTCAGATAAATCACAGTTATCCTTCAAATAACGTTGCATAAACAGTTGCGATAAAACTACAGATCCGCGCGTAACTTCAAAACGTAAGAAAAATAATGAAAAACAGAACAATAGAACAGATTTCCCAATAAACATAACAAAAGCTACACCTTTCGGAATTCGTGCTTAAAACTAATTTCCAAGTCGTGTTCCGAATTAACGTTCCGATTCCGATAACGATTACAAACTGAACAGCAGAGAATATGAAAAAATCCGATCGAGGACAAACGATTAAACTGAGAAACGAATTTTAAGTGGCAATTCCAAAAGGCGTCTTCCCGCGTTTTCGGCGGGAACGGCGTTAATAAACATCACGCGGCAGATTGCAGGGCTAGGGAATTCTGGTGAAAAATCTCCTTTATCGCGGCGTGCGTAAGCCGTGCAGCTTCCGCGGTGAAATACGAGCGGACGATAAGGGCGAGGCGATGACGAGACTTTCAAAGGCGAACGGGACAAATTATGCCAGCCGTTTATCGGGGCCCGGCGATGTATAAACACGACGAGAAGCCGCGCCGTCAACCGGCCGGGGTTAAACTGATAACATTTGCTCCCGCGGATTTCGTAAACTCGGAATAATTCGCAGTCGCCTGATCGATTATCGGCCTCCTATCGCGACCGATTTCGTTTTGGCACTCTCCAGTGGACGTTCGCTGGCCCCCGTACCAACGATTTACTGCGGAGACACCGTAGAAAACCTTGAATCACGGTAATGCCTCGATACTAGTTCATTCTCTGGATTTTTTATTAACCAGTTAACTGTGGAATTTAGTTGGAAAAACCTCTCGTTCGCAATGAAATAAAAAAATGGAGCGTGTACTCATCGAACGCAGGACGAATGCACGTAGAGTATATTTTAATGATCAAAGAGAAACAAAGAATTACATGTTTATGTGAAAAATAAAGAATTAGTATCACGTCAAGCTTTACGATGACGTGTATACTAGTCAAACACGGTTAACTGGTTGATATCCCTTTGCTTCAGAGAGCTGAATGGAATTATTCCGATAAACTTGGCCGTGAACTCTTAAACTACGTTTACGTCGTTTCGAGCACTCGAGGTACAGTAGTGCTTCGATACTAGTCCGTTCGTTGAAGATCGCGACCGTTTTCTTGTTCGTGAGATCGAGGAGACGTTAACTTGATGATTAGGGAACGAAGTATTGTGGAATTATGCAGTGGGTTGTTTGGAAACTAGAATCGATGTGGTGCTTCGATATTAGTTTCTTTGGAAGATTTTAAGTAATCTTTCGTGGTTTTTGAGAGGATTTTTGTTGGTTTAATAACTTAGAGCATCTAATGAAATAATTGAGTATATGCAAAATATTGTATACAGAAGTGCTTCGGTACTAGTTCATCTCTGGAACGTTCCAATTACTGTCACATCGTTCTTCAGAGTGGGATTATATCACGATCAACTACCGAGGCCGTTCAGTAGAACGAGAAAATCGGCGAGCGGATTAAACAATCGAAGGAAAACTGATCTACCGAGGCTCCATTCCAGTAGAACGAGTCACGGCCGATGAATAATTAACTTTTACAGGAAACAAGCATCCGCGAGACTCGTTCCTTTTGAAATATTCATTATCTACGATAAACTCCGCGACCGGTTTCGCGGCTCGGAGTGTCAGCTGTTGCTCTAATTACCCATATCTAGTATTCCAAATGTTCCCTTGAACTTTTCTCTCGGCTGATAGTCAGTTTTCAAAGATTCCGTCTTACTGTCATCCACGTCTCTCAGCAATCCTCAATTTCTTAACGCTAGAACTGTCAAGCAGTAAAGCAAAGCTACTTACAATTTGTTAGAAAAATTACTGAAATTACAGATTTCTTGAGATGCAAAGAATTCCCTATTGCTGCACTTGTTCAGATGCAGAAGTTTATTTCGAAATTTCTCACGAAATCACCTCTGTCATCTTAACAATGGCGAAATAAGAATCTCGAGATCGGTCATTTCGATCCGTCCGGTGGTTCTATTGTTAATGAAACATTTAATTCGCTTCTTTATCGCGAGATCTATTTCGCATTCAGTTTACTTCATTGTGTAACCCTATCTTAGATCTCCTATCTAGGATAATGATCCCAGAACGATGCAAGCGCATCTACCTAATTTCTACACAGAAACCATCGACAGGAATATCTACGAAACGTTCATCTTAGATCGTAATTATCTGAGAATTACTCTCAGATAATTCACAATGTATTCTATTCACAAAATATCCAGTAAATCGTTGTACTTCTTTTGTCGATATCGACGTACCAATACAATCCCTTTGAATTCCACTTTCTATTCTTCTTAGAGTATCAAATCTGTTGATTGCACTCTCATTATAATATCTATCTCACTAACAATCTATTCCCTCCTTGATACACTCGATTCCTACCTTTTTCCCTAGTTTACCATTCCAAACTACCGATAATCCTAATTCCAACATTTCGCGTTTACGGAAACCGGTGAACACCGCCAAATCGTTAATTGCACTCTCATTACAATATCTATCTCACTAACAATCTATTCCCTCTTTGACACACTCGATTCCTAGCTTTTTCCCTAGTTTACCATCCCAAACTACCAATAATCCTAATTCATTCAAAACATTTCGCATTCACGGAACGCCGCGAGACGCGATCTTACCTGCGCGTATATTGTTCGAGGACATGGCTGACGGCGCTCGTAACAGTCACACACTACACTGACGCGGCACCGATCTCGTTACGCGATCGCCGATCGAGGAGGATCGAGGGAATATGGATCGTGATGGAAGCGGCGCGCGCGCAACTGCCGCTCGTTGGATTCCCGGCCCGTTTCTGAACGCCGGGGACGATCGTACGCAATTTATCGCGGCGGCACGTGGCCCGGCGCCGATTCAAACGTGAACCACCACCACCACCACCACCACCACCATCGCCATCGGCTCATCCCTTCCACGCGCGAACCACGAGTTTATTTTCGATCCCTGCGAGCGCCGTTTATTTTCGCCTCGTTCGACAAACTTCGCGTGGCCGTTCGCTGCAATTGTCTGTGTAAACAACGGCCATGGGGGAGAAGAAGGTGGCATTAAGAGTTTAGGGGATGGTTAACACTGAAACCACCGGACGGGTTAGAACAAGTCATTCCCGATTTCTTCGTTTCGCAATTATTGGTAAGATAACATGTTTTTCTGAGGAATTATCCAGGAAACTGATTTAACGATACGCAACTGAATTGTAGATCAATTAAAGTTTCAAGGGATACTTGGAGTTTCTATGGAGGAATTTGAATAAGTCGGCAGTTTGGTAAATTGCTCGGTAGTTTTAGTGTTGAGATTTGTATCGCGCGATATGTGGAATATCGAAATAATACAGCTTTGTTTCTTACTTTATGTTTTCTGATTACTTTCGGAGGACGTCGTCTGCATCTCATTGGAGAATGGTGAATATTTCTAGTGAAATTGGAGTGCGAAGCGATAGAACAAAAAACTGCTTACTAAAAATTCCAGCGATAAGAATCCGGAGAGAAACGAGAAAGAATATTTATCTCGCGGGCCGATTCAATGATTCAGTCGTCCGCGATCGAGAGCGCGTGCCTCGACTGCGAAATTCGAGGAACGCCGGGCTGAAACGAGTATTGAGTGATTAATCGCTGGACGTCTGTACCTCGCGATTAATTAATTACCGGAAAGGTGACGAATTCGGACGGGCAACCGAGAGATACCGGTTTCCAAAGGTCGAAGCGGCGACCAAAGAACAATTGCCTCGCGTTTCGTCGCGTTCCATTGTGTTACCTTGGTTTTTCGGAACTCGGAGGATCGCGTGGGAGGATCAGGATAGCAAAAACAGCGAGGAGAATCTTGGTAAAACGTATCAAATTTATTTTCACTCCTACCTCGGAGCTTGCCTCGGGAACTCGTCGCTCGCGAGCGCGATTATCATTCGAAAAGCTGGAACAAGAGGTCGACGTAACTGCAACAACGAGAGCACGGGCGCAGCCGGGCCACAATTAAAAGTTTCCGCGAACGACACCGCCGCTGGTAATTTCCGGGACGCGCCTCTAATTCCGTTATTTCGAAATTTCCACGCGGAACGCGGCGAGATCGCCGTTGTCTACCGGAAAAGACGAGCAGGCTAACGAGCAACGAGCTCGCGGTTCGTTAAAAACCGGCGACGACGAGCGGAGACACGCCCCTAACAAATTTCTTCCGCTAGACCCCGCCCCTCTGGGTTTTAAACGCTAGTGTATTGGTTTGGAAACAATGTGGGCGTGGTTTCGAACGAAAGCGAATGATTTTGTAGTCGCCTTTTTAATTTTCTGTTCTTGTTTTTTATTGACGTGTTTGAGGGATATTGTATTGATGAGTGAAACAGTGTTTGAAACATTGGATATCGAATTTGGGAGGTGAGAGTGTTGTAGACCACGCCCATAATTTGTACAATGCTGCGTTTAGAATAATTTAATAATTAAAATTTTTAATATATAAATATCTCCGTCGAGAGCTATCGTTTACAGTGAATGTCGCGTTGATAGATCGATTCGCTCTCGAGATATTGAACGTTGAAGTCGCGAGATGAGAGGGTCACGTGGGACAAGGCTCCGCCCATGCGATGTTTCTAACGAGTTCACAGGCAAGCTGATTGAAATCATCAACTATAAATGGAATACTTTGTACATTAAACAAATCAGTCTGTGACCGAGAAGTCCTGCTCGCGCATGTTCCTAGTCTTCCACCAGGGATCCAGGAAGATATTCCCACCGGAGAGCCAGCTCCGCTTCCGGTTCCTCCGTACCGAGAATGCGCGCACGCGATTAGGATTTCTCGACCGATTTGTGGACCACTGGAATGCATCGGCCCTCACTGCAACAGAACAAGATCATTGTAATAAAGTATTGGGGAATTGGAAGCTTGGGAAACGGGTTGAACTGGAAAATTGGAAACTTTGGAAAATTGGAAAATTGGAAAATTGGAAAATCGGAAAATCGGAAACCTGGAGAATTGAACAATTGGAAACCTGGAAAATTGGAAACTTTGGAAACTAGGAGAATTGAACAATTGGAAACCTGGAAAATTAGAAACTTTGGACACTAGTAAAACTAGAAGATTGAACAATTGGAAAACTGGAAACTTCGGAAATTTAAAACTCTCAACTCACCTGAATCCCTCTACGTCTCCACTCCCCTAAGATTCCCATTGGCCCCGAACTCCGTCCTCTTGTCGAAGAACAAACACCGGTACATCAGCGACGCAACTAAGGTCCCAAACATCGGTCCCAGCCAGTAGACCCAATGCTTGTTCCAGTTCCCGTTCCAAACAGCTGGACCCAGTGTCCTGGCAGGGTTCAAACTGCACCCAGTATAGGGGATGAAGACGATGCAGAGCACAGCCACGCAAAGGCCGAACCTAATGGGCGCTGAGTCCGAGTTCTTGGTGTTCCTGTGGTCCCATAGGCCACAGGCGAAAAGGACCAAGATTCCCGTGGCCAGAGCTTCCGCGATGAACCCCTGAACCGTGCTCAGCTTGTCGTTAACCTGTGTCGTGCAGAAGTTGGACGCTGTCTCCGGCGTGGTGGCAAAGACCAGTTCCACTGGGGTGATCAGCTGAGGGATTGTTTGTATAATTGTCAGACAAATCAATCATTAATCTAATTTCAATCGTATAATTATTTCAACTGTACTATTATGTATTTCATTCAGTATCCTTGGAACTGAACGAAGATGCAACGAGGATGCAATATCAGAGATTATTAAAAGGAACTTTCTATTACTAATTCTTAATTAAATAAAATATCCTTCGTTTTACCCTGAGCAGGCCGTATCCGACAAGTGCCCCAATACACTGCGACACAATGTAGACCACTGTCATAGGCAGGGACTTGGTACCCAAGATCATAGCCGCCACTGAGATGCAAGGATTAATGTGAGCGCCACTGATGTGCCCGACGCACTGGAAACACAAGATGGCGGTGTGTTAATAGCGAAGAATAGAGAAGCTTTCAGATTAATTAGTGGAAAGCTACCTGTATCGCGATCAGCACAGCGAGCCCGAAGGTCAACGAGAGCTGCAGGACACTGGGCAGAACACCTAAGCTCCCTATGCACCCGGTGCACCCGATGAACACCAGAATGGCGGTCCCCACTAGCTCCGCGATGGCGGACATTAGCGTCTCGCAGCCAGTTGTATCTTCTTTCATCAGGTTGCTCAGCCCTGTGAAAAAGATGTTTTCATCTTAACGAGCGGACCTGTTATAGAATGATTTATGAGATATTAACCCTTTGCACTCGAGAGGTGATTCTCAGTCACTTGATTTGATTTGCAGAATTATAAAATATGAGTAAGTATGATGCATCGATATATGGACTATTGAAATGAAATAACTTTCCTTCTTAATTTATATATGTTTCCTCGTTGATTATTTTCAAAGAACATCGTCTGTATCTCGTCGAAGAATATTGAATGTTTCTAGTGAAACACTTTCGAGTGCAAAGGGTTAAAATTGTCTTTAGGGCTGGTAAGAATGATTGCTTAGGACACTCGTGCGAATAGTTTATCGAAACATTAGGTTCTTCGACAGTTTCTTTCGTTTCATTAGTAAATAATGGACAATGCTTATTCGTCTATGGAACATTTGAAACAAACTTCCATAGAACACAGGCAATTTCAAAAAATTCACAAAATCCTAATCTATCCTATTTTCCTAATTAAAGTTCATCATCTTCGTTATCGGTACTCCTAGTAAACCAACAATGGCACGATGTAATATTCCTAAGCCAAGTGTACAGACATTATTCTAAATAAAATCGCAGTGGATCTCGAAGGTAAAAGCTGCTTTCGGACACCCTGTATGCAATAGCGATCCTCAAACAAGCTGCAGATAGCAGCCACTCCATCTTCCCCGATGGAAAATATCGACAGCGAAAAGAAGGGAATATCTCACGTGGCCCATTGTCGATTCCATCCGCGAGCCGCTATCGATCGAGGGCTCGCGGCGCGGTTAATGAGTCCGAGCCGGCGTCGGCGGGCCTCCAACGTAATTAAGAAAATTGCCACGCCGATCGAGCGTGGTCTCTTGCGCCGCGGTATCGTTTCCAGCTTCGAACGATGATGAAAAAACCCGGGTGCGTTATCTTTCCGCTACCTTTTCTCTTCATCACGCAATCATCCGCCCGGAAACCGTCATCGGAACCTGCGCGCCATTTTCATTCCGCGGAAATTGCAGCATCATGGTCTCTCCGACATGCTTGCGAAGGAATTTTATATAATTCTTCCATTGTTGATTTTTCATCTTTGATTCCAGGGATTTATTGCTGTTTCTCGAAACCAACACGATTCGTCCATTTTTTCAACGGCGTCACGTCGTTTCAGCTTTTTTCCACGTAGTTACCTGATCATTTTGTAGAATACACCTCTAAGTTTGTGGAAATCTTTGATCCATCTGATTTGAGGCATTAAATTTGTCGCAACAAGTGTACCAAAGGATTTAGAACGAGTTTTTCATCGTTGTTTCGAACTCTTCATTAACGATCCATTGTTACGTTTTTCGAATCTTCCGCGATTCGTCCATTTTTTCAGCAGCATTGCACACGTTCAACCTTTACCTAATCAATTATACGCTAATTTTTCCAAAGACACCTCTAAATTTTCGACGAAACAAGAAAACCGTTTCGATTGCACTCGTAAAACGAGCAGGGTCGAATTGTGTCTAGTCGTTGGCGCTTTTCGCAGTGTACTTAGCGACTGTGAATGAGAAGAGGACGAGCCGGGTCTGCTTTACGGAGCGTAGAGGGCTCGCCGTGTGATTCCGGGAGTTGGAGCAACCACGACAACTTTTGAACTTTCGACCGGGCAACTTGCTGAACGCGATTACCCCGTGAGCGACCGGTGTTAAGGGTCAAGCGAGAATCTGCATGGAAGTTTCAGGGAGCGCCGCAAAGAAGAGGGAGCCGAGTCCGCGGGCACGTTTTACCATAATTGTTTCCACGTTTGTACCAACTCACAGACAACGGCTGCCACGTTCACGACAATTCCGAGTTTATCGTGTCGCAATCAAAGGATTCTTCCACTGAAACTTGAACGCTGCGTTTGGCAAGCGATTCCCCTTTAAACTCGATACTCACCTTTAAGAACACTTTTCGATCAGTAATTCCATCGAGAAAAGAGCACAGAGTCCTTTATTAACCATTCTTCTGCTCGGATAATAAAATTCATATTCCTCGGAGGAGTTTTTCATTCATGATTTCATACAACAAGACAAACAGTTGTTAAGAATTCGAAAAATCTGTATAAAATCCGTACCGAAATTCTCGTTTCTAGAACAGTTTCTCGATAATCCTCGTTGCGTGAAATATTCCATTAACTTCCGCACACTCTCTATTAATCGTGAATGAATTAATGTTGCATGAAAAATGTCTCGCTTAGAGCAAAGGCCGGAACGAAGGAGATTATTCAACGAAATAATATTCGTTAGGACGAAGGTACAAGAGCGCGACGGTCGTTTGGCGGCGGTGATATTGAGTTATAAATTCTTGTTGGCTGAAATTCAGCGCGCGCCGCGAAAGAGGAATCGGGAAATGCTGGATGGCCTGAAAATTCCCTCTAACTTCGTGGTAGATCCTTTGGCAAACTTCGCCGGGGAAGTTCCGTTCGCGCCCAGTTGCACGGGTTTCCACGGGGATACGTCGGGCAACGTTTGCTCCAGAATCACGGCCGAGTTCTCGTGATTAACCATGCGCCGGCCGGATACGATTAGAAGGCAACACGTGTCAAGCGCAATTTCCATTAGCGAATGTGCCGTGTCTACAGTGATCGTTCATTGACGCGTGATGACCAACTGGCTCTCCGACAGGAATCATCTTCGTTGTTCTGCCATTCTCTCGTTTAATGGCACCTGACAGTATTGCAATTTAATCCTTCAAAGTTCCGTGGCTTCGACGTTTCGAACTTGATTCTTAAACATTCGGGTATTCGGGTACTTGGATATTCGAATATTTAAATTATTGAAACTGCTGGCGTCGGAATTAGAAAATATTCAAATATCCGAATGATTAAGGCTTCAAATTTTCGATCGAACTCATTGAAGCTTCAAAGCTTTACGTTTTCAAATATTCAAATCTAAAGGCTTAGAATTTCTAATTTTCAATTTTCTAATGATCTAGTTTTCTAATTTTCTAATTTCTTAAGTGTATAATTTTCTAATTCCAAAGCTTTCAAGCACTGAACCTTCCAAAACTTTCAATTCTCAAGCATTCAAAGAATCCCCCGTGGGTTTCAGCTTTATTTCCCCTCAACCATGGTATCTTGAATGAAAAAGTCTCTTGCACAAGGCAATTTCCACTCAATAAAGTGGACAACAGTCATCCAAGAAATTCTGCTTCACAACCAGGTAAAAATATCACGGAGAAATTAGTTTAAAAAGTATCAGACGCTCGGAAACACTGGAATGTCGCGTTAATGGTTCGCTCGAAGTTGCCAACGAAGTTATGACAGAAAAAGTGTTCCCAGGAACAAGAATTTTATTTATTATTCAAGAAAATAGTTTCCCAAGAATGCCTGCCCAAGAATACAACAGAAATTTCACCGGCAACTCGCTTTAAATAAGATCCGATCCTCGAGACTACACAAACGGAGAATTAAACGATCGCGACACGAGTTTCGATGAATTCATGAATGAAAATGTCTTCTTTAGCATAAAAACTCGATTCGTTCCAGTAGGAGGATGTCCCATCGGGGCCCCTATCCTAAAATAAGTCTAAATTCTTCCACCGTCGCAACGGCGTTCGATTATCATCGGGTCAAACCACTTCCTTCTAACTCGCTGACCCCGCCGTGACAATCGTTTCCCTAATGAGTTCGCTCTTTCCTTCAAGATCAACGGTCAACTCGTGCTTTTATCAACGCTCGTCAAGGTCCACTCACAATCTACTGTGATAGGTTAATTCCATTCCGATTCACGATCGCGTTCAATGAATCTGCGAGCACGCGAAAGGTGTTACAAAATCCCCGATAAAATCTAGGAAGCGATCGCAGCTTGCATTTCCATCGGAATTCATATGCAACGAATTACTTCAACGGTTACGCAAAAGAATGACGCAAACCACGCTGATAACATCGGCCGGAGAAATGATCGCTGGACGTTTCATCTATCGTGCAACGCTCGTTCGCATCGAAAATCGAGAAAGTCTTCCGCGAAGAGAAAACCGACCGGTCGTCCGACGTGAACCATTTCTCCCCTATTTCGTTCACTAACCGCGATTTCACGCTGGTAGGAATTCTTTTGTTCATATCGAGTGACAACTTCTCATTCTCTAACTTATTCTGATATTTTTTTTGATAAACCGACAACAATAATTTATAGATTTCTAAACAGAAATATTATCTAAAATTTCTACGTATTGTTCGGAATTCCAATTATCATGGAAAGCAATCGAAGTGCAAGGACCTACAGCCCAGGAAATTAGCTTGAAACGTTCAAAAGAACGTTAATAATTAAGCAAACACCAGATAATGCATTACACATCAAGAACCTTCGAAAATTGTTCCATTTCTTCTCATTATATCGCGAATTATTCGACATGCAGCACTTTCTAATGCCAAACTATCGTATCGACGAATGAAACCGATCTTTCTCCGATCCGTTTTTCTTTCAAGCGTTCATTCTACTTTCACCGACGATTTTAGTTTCTTTCGTTGCTGGAAACCTCAAAGAATTCTACTCGAAGATCGTCTGTCTTTTGTTTCCTAAGAAACGAGGAAGCGTCCGCGTGGAACGCGAAAGATGGTTTTCCTTTCCGAGAGGAAACGGATATGTCTAAGTCTTAATTACAAACGAAATCGCGGCAGCCGGCCGGGTATAGGTGTTGCCGGTAATTACAACGAAAGCCACCTGTAATTGGGGATCGAGAAAGTAACGCGCGGCTGAATTTAGAAAATGGTGAAAGCCCGCAAGAAGCGCGGCTCTTAATTAACGAGCCTCTCACGGTCATTCGCGCGCCATCTCTGGCCGAGTTCGACGCTTTTTTATCGCCGACCGATAAAGAAGAGGTTTTTTTCTCTCGCGCGGAAGATACATCGAACTCGATTCCTCGATGATTTATTTTATTGTGAACCGAGCAATGCTTTTATTTATAGAAACTTTCTAACCCGGAGATTGTAGTCTGTTCCGGTTTAAAGGGACTGACGAGTGCATTTGAACGTTGCACCGATGCAGTTCCGCAGATCATTGAATTTAATTTACGATTCGAGTTTAATTGATCGTGTAAATATCGAACGATAAATATTTAACGGTTGCAATATATAAAAACTACGGTATTCAACGTTTAGAATAATAATTTAGATATTTAGATTTTAAATAATTTTATAGGCAATGTTTATGGTACCATATTGTCTTCTTTTCTTTGGTCTAATTAGCACGTTCGACATTGTAAACGCCTGTAGGTCAGCCGAATGGCAGGATCGAAATTTGAATTTCAGTGATCCTAGATGAAGCACCGTTACAGTAGCAACGCGCGAGATCATCGAGAAGAAGACGCGGAAATGGAGGAGCCTTGAGACGATTCGTTGACCCGCAGCGTTCACCGAGAACTTGACCTACTATCACACTTGCCACGGTCACCGTGTAAACACTACGTGTTCCGTTTCGTCCAGTGTCTCTCAAAGTGGATCATCCGATTTGAATATTTTCGGGAGCAATTAAACGAACGTTCGCATCGCGTTTTATTCATCAAAAAAGAAAAGTCCTTCGTTGTCCTTTTCTCCGAACGAACGTTGACCTTCGTTTCCTTTTTCATGGAAAAACCGTTGACACTCGTTTTTCTTTTGTCAGAAGCATCGTCTTATTTGAATATCTTCGAGAGCAATAAAACAAACGTTGCATACGCGTTTCTTTTTCCATAAACAGCGTTGACATATGTTCTTTCGTAAAAAAGAACGTCGTTCATTTCGCTTTTCATTCGTGGTTCCCTTCGCTCGTCACACTTATCACTCATAAATTATTGTCACGTCAACAATACGATCGTGTATACTAACGTGAAATGTTTTTCTGATCCCATCTCCTTCCATCGATGATTGATCACAGATTGATCGATTCGCGTGAGAGATAAAAATCCATAAATTCTGGAGTGTCTTGATATCAAGTGACTGCTAAATCACTAATTATTTTGATTTGTCGTTGAATTACCACTAGAGGATAGTACAGTCTTCGCAAAATACGTTTCGAATAGATAATATCCTAGTTAATAAAGATTCTTACGGCGAAACTCGTCAATAACAGTGACAAAGGTGTTAATCAGTTGCTTCTTCAACTGATTCCCAATATCCATCACCGAATCGCAATCGCTCGAATCGATCTACACAAGTATTCGAGCATCGATAGAACGTTGTTTGTTTTTTTCTGGCAGCGCGTACGTTTCCAATTCCCCAATTAGTCGGCCGATAAGTATTACAAGCCCGATGATTAGCGCGATTAGGGCCTCTCGACCGATACGAAACGACCACGCACTTCCAGTGCAACCTGCCGAAACACGCTTCCCGTTAGGTTTCTGCGTTAAAAAAAGCGAACGGTAGATATTCTAAATAGAACTTGGCTTCGAATCGTTCCTGTTATCGCCAGAAAGTCGTTTACTTATAAATTACCGCCGTTACACGATTACCGTCGAGCTAATCTACATACGAATGCATCGATTCGCTCAAATAATTTCTTCTCGTGTTCTGTAACTTTTCCTGCATTTTATCTATAACACATTGATATTTAATCGACGAGTATCCAAACTTATACAAAAAATTGATTGAACCTTTCCTTTTATAGATAAAACAAGCGAATCTTCCTTAAGATGATTAAAACTTCAAACTTATACTAAATTACATCGATGTTTAGTGAACTGAGCCATCGAAGCCATTAAACTCATTTTAATTGTTATACGACGAATCTAATTAACTCGATTTTTACTGTATTCGTTGCACCGAGTGCTTACGCTAATTGTGCAGACTGTAATTTATAGATTTCATTTGTACTATTTACATCGCGAAGATTCTCTGTCGAGGAAATATCTGTAATATACGTGTACACTCTAATTAAAGTTAGGAAAAGCGGGGAAATCAACGGTGGAGAGAAAGATCTCGCAGGTTTTCTTAATGAGGGACCTTTAGGGAAGTTCCGCTCGAGTCTGTTAATTAGAGGAAGCAGTTCTAATCGTTCGTGCAGCATGAAAATTGACCGGCGATCGGACTCTCGAGGAGAGAGCGTTTCCCGCGGCGCTGCGTCGCGTCGGTGACGGCGGAAAGAAAGTTCTCCGCGAAAGTATCTAGAACGTGGAAAACGAGAGAAACGTGGATCACGTGCCTCGATATCACGAGCGAACGGAATTACTCTTTCCAGGCCACGGAGGACATTGTTCCACGTGGTCTGCATTCACCTGCCCCGCCATTTCACCGGCAACCTGTTACACTATCCGGTGATCTACGATCTTAAGATCTCTACTGTAGGATCTATCGTTCGCAATCTTACGATCAATTGGAACTGATCGTTTCGGTGAAATTCAATTCTATAATTTCTACTTGTGGAATTTGTACTTTTGTGATATAATTTTGTAGCGTTAGAATTTGTGGAGTTTTGTATTGTGATTTGTAGGATTACGTATTGTAATTTGTATTATAATTTGTAGTATGAGTATTTTGTAGTATAGTTTGTGGTATTATACTTTGCAATATTTGTTTTTGGAGGGTTAGGATTTGTATTAGTGTAATTTTTTAGTGTTTTGTGATATTATCGTTTTGTAGAGTTATAGTTTGTAGTAGTAGAATTTGCAATACTGAGAGTTTGTGGCGTTATAATTCGTAGTAACGTAAACTTTGTAGTATTATAATTTGTAACTTTCTAATTTCTAGTATTACAATTTGTAATATTTTAATTTTGTAATATTACTAATTTCTAGCACTATAATTTCTAATATTACTAATTTCTAGCATTATAATTTCTAATATTACAATTTGTAATATTATAATGTTGTAATATTACAATCTCTAACATTATAATTTCTAGTATTACAATTTGTAATACCAAAATATCATAGCACTACAATTCCTAAAACTATTGAAAGTATCCCATTAGAAGTTGAACAGGTACTCACACGGTGTTTTGAGCTTCTCTTTGGCAGCCTGCAAGCTGGGCCTGGAGCTGAACGTGATCCCGATGCTCTTCGATTTCCCCACAGAATTTTCCGTGATCACGGTCGGCGTTATTATCGAGACGCCACCTTGCTCCATATCGCTGGTTGATTTATCGGCGTCGAACGAGTCCGCCTGTCCACTGGAAATTTACGCGTTACACTTTTAGCACCGAATCCAATCGCGGAAGAAATGGAAATGGCTCTCGGATGCGGAACGATCGTTCGGGAATTCTGCGGTACGCGCATGCGACTGCAGCGTTTCACTCCGAATATTTAATAATTTAATCCGCAATCGTTGACGTGACGTTTACGAGACGCTTAGCAGATGAAGCCCGAGATGAGATAAAGCATATTATGGCTGTGGGAGGAATAGCTACTTGTTCCTCTGGTAAATTGTTGAACATTGTTCTATTGATGAAATTTTGCATTGTGCACTAATTGTATTGTTGTATTATCATATTATTTTGTTACTTTATTATTTTATTATTCTGTTATTCTATTATTTTAATATTCTGTTATTCTATTAATTAACTATTCTATTACTCTATTACTCTAATATTCTGTTATTCTATTATTCTATTACTCCATTATTATATTATTCTATCATTTTAATATTCTATTATTTTATTACTTTACTATTCTATTACTCTATTATTTTAATATTCTGTTATTCTATCATTTTAATATTCTATTATTCTATTATTTTATTACTTTATTATTCTATTACTCTATTATTTTAATATTCTATTACTCTATTATTTTACTATTCCATTACTCTATACTTCTATAATTCTATAATCCTATTATCATATTATTCTACTATTAATTACCCTAACTTATTTACAAATTACTATATTATTAATCTATTTATTACTACATCCACAAAAATCACAAACTAAATATTTCCAAGAACCCTACACTCCCACGACAAACTCCACCACTTCCCAAAATCCATCAGCCTGCCAAACACAATTAAGAATTCAAAGATCGCAGAAAATCTAGAACATAACAAGCAAACTGGTTCGTCCAAACTGTCAATCGACAAATAAACGCATTCGTGTGTAAAAATAACACGCGTTTATTCAAAGTTAATCAATGCTTCCTCGTTGAAAACGTGAGAAAAGGATGCACGCGACTACTGATTCATTTTTTAACGAGAAATCGATCGGCATTCGGCCGATCCGTGAATCACGCGTGCCGAGTCGCGCGTCCTAAGCAAACGGAGCGTATCTTCGCAGTCGGATCCGTTCAGATACAACAGCGACCGCAAACACCGGTGAATTACAATTTGTAAACACGACGGATCGCGGATTCGCGCGAGAGGCGATCGTAAATCGACGAGCGCGGGATCCAGCGGCAGTAAATCACGCGGCGAACACCCCAATTGACTTAAGGGAAGTGGGGCTCGGTGATCTCGTGGAAATCTCGGCGACGACCTGTTTATCGGTGTCAACGTTTAAATACCAACGGAATCAAGTCGTTAATTATTCTTGGAACACTGCGTTTTAAACGGTTCGCTTTAGTAGAGGTGGGGTTTAACGTGATGGATCGACAGTCGATCGATAGAGGGTTTTATTGGATTATTGTTTCAAAGAGATGGAGATTTAGTAGTTGATTTTTTAATGATTCTTGGAGGTTTTTAGTGAACTGCTGTTTCAGACGCTGGAGAATTGGGGTAAATTGTTAATAGATTCTTATTGAGTCATTGTTTCAAAGAGATGAAGATTGATAGTCGATTTCCAACAGATCATTGAAAATTCTTAGTGAATTTTAGAAGCTGGAATCGAAGATTCTATTAAGTATTTCCAAAGGCCTGAAACTTCGAAGTGATCAACCTATGATCAAAGATTTCCATCGAATTTCCAAAGCTGAACACTCAGAATAAGTCATTATCAGATTAAAGATCCTCATTCAATCGTTATTTCAGAATCAGATCAACTAAAATCTATCTTACAGCTAATTATCACGTCAAAAACTTGCAAAACCACAAGGAACCGTTAACGGATCATTAAACTATCTAATAACCCCGACAGTGCACCGAATTACGTCGTTAACTCCACGAAAACACGATTAACATCGCGGTTTTTTCTGGTGCCTCGCGAATTTTCACGTGCCAAGACGTTGCCCCGTTTAATTACGAAATTCTCGTTAATCGTTGAAGTGTTATTTGTATCGCAAATTAGCCCTGTTCGCGGAACGATTGTCCCGGGCACAATGGGCAGAACTAACGAGCGACGATTACACTCTTAATTACCTGCACGGTCTCGTAGTCGCGCGTTAGATCTAATTTGTCATTCGCGAGAACCGTGCGCACGGTGGCCCGTATCGATAACTCGCAGTAACCCGCACCCAAGAATCGCCAAAATACCCGTGTACTCTCCGTTGCACTTTGTTGCAAACATATCTGCGCACGATAACAATAAACACTGAACTTTACTCGAGCAACGCGAAATTTCTATCTAGATTCCAGCGGAATTACAATCGCAAACTACTAAATCTTATTAACACTAGAACTACCGAGCATTTAATACAATTAATATGCAACTCCTATAAAAATTATGAAAATAGATTATTTTCAGTTTCTTCAGACATTCATTATAGTACTGAAATGAGACTATTTATTTTCAAAATCATTTCGAATATTCAATGCTTCGAAGATATCATTAATTGCTGAACAAACAAATCGAAGTGATTTTGACTGGTACGGTAGTTCTAGTGTTAATACAATTATCAAGAATGAAGATCTCAACTCTTTCAACTCCTTTTCCTCGTAATTTCTTTCTAATGAAGTTACGGGAAGTAAACAATCACTGCTATTCAAGCATAAACCATTGCTCAAACTATAATCTGCTTTTTGAAGCCATTTTCTGATAAAACCGAGTTAACCATAGTTTCAATCACACATATCCTCGCAAACTAACCAAAAGAAGTTAATATTGTATTTAAAAACATTATAAACATTTCATTAAATTTTAGTTCCAATAGAATTTTCTAAGATCCTCTCTTTATTCATTAAATTTTAGTAACCCTGAACTGCAATTTCCCTGTAATTTAAACTGAAACTCACTGATCCTTTTCCCTTAACACTATTCTAAAGTCTCAAAAGGTTTCCGAAATTTCACCTTAAAACGACTCAACTCAATCAGTCCATCAAATTCCCAATATTCCCCATAATACCATAATCACTTACATTTCCCCTAATACTATAATTCCAACTAACATTACAATCATTCCTAAAAAACTCAGAAAGCCAATCAGTATACACAACTAAACAGAAACCAATTTCCACCTAAAATTCCAAAATCTGTTCAACGCGTTCGGCGGAAGGATCGCGAAAATTCTTCAAAAATCTGCGGTCGCCATCGAAGAAACCTCTGAAACGTTCACTTACCGATGGTGTTCCGTTGCTAAACTGTTCCTGCCGCTGAAGGAGATCACAGGTGAACTCGCGTATCGATTTTCGCACGATGGATCCCGCGGTGTCGGTCGCTGGAGAGGTGTTGCTCGGATGTCGCGTGGCTTCGGCGAGACTGAATCGGTTCGCGAGCCGTGGCCACCTCTATATGTAGACGCTCCTCCTCTGCCACCGGCTCCCGTTATACGACAACGTTCTGTGAACGTCGCCAGGGAACTGCCGTTTCTGCCAAATTCTTGCCGCATTCGCCGCGATTCGTCGTGCCACCGTTCCGGATCGATGAGAACCGCTGCACACACTGCGACGCTCGACGGTTTATTTAACGCTGCCGCTAACGAGCTGTCAAACCGAGTTCTCTGGACCTTCGAATGGCAACTGTGAAGACACTCGTTCAACTTCCGGTACTTTCGAGTTCCGTTGTGCTTCCATTTGTAGATTTTTTTAGTTGAATTTCTTTAGTTGAATGTTTGGACTTTTATTTTGATTTCTAGCTTTATTGCTTCCTTGTAGATGTTTTTATAATGATTTATAGTTCAATTTATATTTAGTTATGTTACAATGTGTACTTTATTGTATTCCAGTGTTTGATACTCAAATTATTGATGCTTTCGATAGAAAAATTAGAAATTTGGATACTAATTACACTGAACTACATACTCTCTTCGTTAACTTTAAGAACTACTGTACCAGTCAAAATGACTGCTTTCAGTTTTTGTTTCGCAATTATTGATATCTTCGAAGCATTGAATACTCGAAATGATTTTGAAAATAGTTTCACTTGAATACTATAATGAATGTCTGAAAAAACCGAAGATAATCGATTACTACGATATTCATAGCGATTACTTCAATCGTATCAAACGCTCGGTTCTAGTATTAATCGAGTTAATTTAATTCTATTAACGGCTTTGTTTACAACTAGAAAGGTATTAGAATCTAGAGTAACTCGAGAATTGCTAAACAACAAAGGAAAACTGAGACAAAAGGAAAGGCAGCGCGTTCGCTAAGGGAAAAATGGGAGATCGTATTTGGTCGGACAAGTGTTGACATCGTTCGAAATAGAAACGGCGGAAAAATGCGCGCGCCTCGGAAATAGAATGCTCGTTGGCGAATATTGTGGACGTTATTTCTGGGCGGCCGGCATTACATAATTCGTCATTACTCCTCGGCTGAGGAATCCTCTTTTCGGCGATCCGATCGCCGCTTATCAGTCGACAGCGTAGCATCTTCGGTTGCAAGCGATAACGGCACTTCGGTCTCAAGTGATCTTTCGTTGTTAACAAGGAGAGCCTCGTCACACTTTTCTTTCCGATTGCACTGCTCGATCGAGTAAACATGTTAGCTTCGTTGGGTAACCGTATAAATATCTCGGTCTTCGGTGTGATTTTTATTTCGTCGAATTCGAACAAAGAACAGTTCCAGTTTGAAATTTTAAACGGGTTCTCAGGTATTTAGGAATTATCTGTACGTTGTAATTAGGTAGTTTCTTGATTTTCTTAAGTTTATTAATTGAAAGAAACTTGTAAGAAGTGATTCCTGAAAGAATCCTGTGATTCATGGGTGAGTATACATAACAATGATTTCATAGAGTTCTTCATATAGAATGGCGTTTCAGCATCTTTTCTTATATTAACCCCTTGCATTCGGAAGTTTTTCATTAGAAATATTTTAATGTCTTCTGATGAGATAGAGAGGATATTTTGTGAAACTAAATCACACTTAAATTGAGGGATAAAGCTATTTTGTTTGAATATTTCTCAAATTGATGCGTTATACGAAGTTTAATATTAAGTATCAAATTTTATAGTTTTACTGTATGAAATTAATTAATGAGTGAGAGTCACTTCTTGAGTGCAAAGGGTTAAAACTTTTCCACGTGTTCAAATTGATTATTCTAATAACAGAAGTAGACAATATTTATCAAACAGGTATAAAAACACTAGACGAACCAGAATTCTTTCCTAAATATTTGAACTATAGATAACAGAAATTAAAGCAATTCAAATCTGAACAATTCGATCTTCCGATTTTCCTGAAAAAACCGTTACTTGTGACCTCTTATCTCTCTACTAATTGTAAAAATGAATCAGGAATAGGTCATTTTGACCTCTAGTTCTAGTGTTAAGAACCTCTATAGCTAGAATAACTCAACATTTCAGTCATCCAAGTGTAAATAAATGAACTAATTAACACTAGAACTATCGTATCAGTCAAAATGACTGGTTTCGATTTGTATGTTTAAAACTTATTGATATCTTCGAACCATTGAATATTCGAAATGATTTTGAAAATAAATAGTTTCATTTCAGCACTATAATGAATGTCTGAAGAAACTGAAAATAATCCATTGTTACAATTTTTATAAGAATTGCATATTAATCGTATTAAATGCTCGGTAGTTCTACTGTTAAATCACTGCCAGAAACTCGTAAACATTGTCGTGTCGTGGTCCCACCAGAAGTTGTAGTCGCAGTTGAATTATTGCATAATTATTGGGCAACGATGTCGAAGCGGCCGCGGACGTTTCACCGGGTTCAGCGTCTTTCAGGAGGAAACGATTAAAAACGACAACGTTGCGTGACGCCGATTGTGCCATAAAGTCCGTTTCAATTGTCTTCTCCTCTTTCCCGTTTCTTTTCTCCGATTAGCCAAACTCGCCCGATATATTCGTGTCGCGATACAAACGGTACTCGAACGATTAACGAGAATTCCGCGATTAAACGGGGCAACGTGCTGCGACGTGAAAATTCGCGACGCACGAGGAAAAACTGTGACGTTAATCGTGTTTCCGTGGAGTTAACGACGTAATTCGGTGCATTGTCGGGATTATTAGATAGTTTAATGATCCGTTAACGGTTCCTTGTGGTTTTGCAAGTTTTTGACGTGATAATTAGCTGTAAGATAGATTTTAGTTGATCTGATTCTGAAATAACGATTGAATGAGGATCTTTAATCTGATAATGACTTATTCTGAGTGTTCAGCTTTGGAAATTCGATGAAAATCTTTGATCATTGGTTGATCATTCAATTTGAAGTTTCAGGTCCTTGGAAATATTTAATAGAATCTTCAATTTCAGAAGCTGGAATTCACTAAGAATTTTCAATGATCTGTTGGAAATCGACTATCGAATCTTCATCTCTTTGAAATAATGACTCAATAAGAATCTATTAACAATTTATTCCAATTCTCTAGCTTCTGAAGCAGCAATTCACTAAAAACCTCCAACAATCATTCAAAAATCAACTACTAAATCTTCATCTCTTTGAAACAATGATCCAATGAAAACTTCCACCGATCTATCAACAATCCATTAACTAACTCATCAGCTCCTAAAGCAGCGATTCACTAAAAACATCCAACAATCATTCAACTACTAAATCTTCATCTCTTTGAAACAATGATGCAATAAAAACCTTCAGCAATCTATCAGCAATCTATTAAGTAACTCATCAGCTCCTTAGCAGCAATTCGCTAAAAATTTCAGAATGCTAGAGACTTTGTTTCGATTCCCCTCTGTTTTCCCTCTTTTCTCAGATTATCTCTCCTCGCGCAATAAATTCGTGCCGTTCCGGCGGTAAACGAGCATCGACGGCGCAGCACGAATCACCTGGTCGCACGGAAATCTCGATACATCGACGCCAGATGGAAAATGATCCGTCGAATCGCGGCAATTCGCTGGACTCGATCGTGGCCGGCCACACTAATGCCATCGCACATATTTGCCCGGTCGATTAGCCTAATCGTCCGGCCTTTACTACTGCCAGGGGATCTGTCAGCCAACGGCCGCTGTCACCGGTGTTTACTGGTGGCTATCCCTGCCTCCGATACTTCGGATAATTTATTCAATTTTCATTCCGACTATCTGTATCAATCCGGCTAAAAATATCGCGGGATTTGCGATCGAGTTTTATCGTGGCGAATTGTCGTCGTGTAATTAGAATTTGTGGAGACTGTCGATGGGAATATCTATGTTTTACTGGGAAGCAGTGGCGTTGAATGGGGTTGTATGGTTTTACGATTGAAATTGTTAGTGGTTTTAGTGTTTAAATTGCTGGTGGTTTTAGTGTTGAGATTGGGAACAGTTTAATATTGGAGTTGACAGTAGTTTTGATATGAGAATTATTAGATTGATGTTGAAATTATTGATGGTTTAGTGTTGAAGTGGTCAGTAGTAATATTAAAATTATTAATAGCTTTAGTATTGAAATTACTGGTTGTTTTAATATGAAAATTATTGATGGATTGATATTGAAATTATTGATGATTTAATGTCAAAGTTATCGATAGTTTCGATGTTAAAATTATCAATAGCTTCAGTATTGAAATTATCAGTAGTTTTAATATTAAAACTATCAATAGCTTTACTATTGAAATCATCAGTAGCCTTAACATCAAAATTATCAACAAATTAATACCGAAACTATCAAAACTTAATATCAAAATTACCAGCAGTTTCAATATTAAAACCACCAGTAGCTCTCTAATTAAAACTACTAGATATTTATACTATTAATAAACTCTCAAGATTAGACCATCGAATCGGAAGTTCCCGAAGAAACCAGACATTCGATCGGCCGCGCAAGATGGAGGCGATCGACGACAGGTGTTCCTCGATCGATCAAGTCGCTGTCCGTGATGGATCACGCGCGGAGAGAAAAAAATCCTGTGATCGATGAAGCTGGGAATAAAGGTGGACGATAACGGATGAAAAAGCTCGCGATCTTTCAAACGAGAGATTCCAACAAAAGAAACCACATAAAATAATTAGCAGAAACTAGAACGAAGTACACTATTCCCTTACACCACAACAACTCCCTGTAAAATTTCAAAGATTCCAATAAACAGCTTGAAAAGTTCCCATAGAAAGCGAAGGAAATCCTAGACGCTGGAACTCGGAGAATAAAATCGCCCAGTGCTTCCGTTTCGAGTCCGAGTCGTCCGAGAAAGGATCACTAGGTCAAATCCAACCCGTCCACAGTTAACATTGATTTTTTCTCGTGATTAGACTCGAATTTTCATTTCCACGAACTCCGAACACGCACAAAGCAACCTGTAAAACATTCAGAATACAATACTCGCCGCAATATTTCCTAACAAAACCGATTTCCCATTGCAATTCCACGCTTTTGACTATATTTGCACTATCTGGAATCGCTAGGAACGTTGAATTGATAAGATATCCATCATTACATAAGAAATCTTACAATGTATCTCAAGAAAACCTATTCCACCTTCATTCGTGCGACGAAAAAAATTCCATTCGCCGATTTCCCGGGTATTCCCCGAGCTCCGACGCGCCGATTTCAGTTAACACAGTGATCTAACAGTTGCAAATCAGCGCAATTACGAATTTCACGCGTCCGGGATGCGATTAAGCGAGCTTTATCGCGCGAACAATTA